GTGATAACATGAAGATGCCAAAAGCACCTCTCATGTGCTATCAATTCCATCAGTATGAATAACAGTAAATGACACTACCTCCAATCTCACAGGCGTTCAGAACTTGTAACTGGGTCATTATTTCTTCCTCACTTGCTTGAATCTGATCAAGCAAATCTTCAGTCGTATACTGAAATACAATATATATATATGTATTTTAATGCTTTGAAGAATAATTGTGTTTTAGGTTTCTTGTTGAACTTTGGGAATGCATAGAACAGATTAAGGCAATATTTATGCACTGGGATCAGTTTCTTTTACTAATGTATATGGTTATGATACAAAAATCAATAAATGTCTTGGAAGAAAGCAGAGGTAAATCTTCACAGCATCGAGTTTGGCAGTGGTTTCTTAAATACACCAAAGACATAAGGAACAAAAGAAAAAATAGATCAACCAGACAGCATAAAAATGATAAACTTGTATATCAAAACACTATCAACATAAAAGAACAAATATTGTATGGTTCCATTTACATGATGTGTTTAGAGCAGTCACAGTCAAGTAGAATGTGGCTGCCATTGGCTGGAGAGGAGAGGGGATCACTGTTTAACTGACACAGAGTTTCAGTTTGGGAGAATGAAAAAGTTCTAGAGATGCATGATACTAATGTTTAGACACCACTATAAATATACTTAATGTTACTAAACTTATACTTTAAAAATTATTAAAATGGCAATTGCTATGTTATATATATTTTACCACAATAAAAAAAAAATCAAGGAAGTAAAACAACAACCTACAGAATGGGAGAAAAATTTGAATATCAAATGTCTGATCAGGGACTTATATCTAGATAATATAAAGAAAGACCTTTCCTACAACTCAGTAATAAAAAGAAAAGTAACTCAAAAATCAGACAAAGAGATTGAATAGACATTTCTCCAAATATAAGTAAATAGTCGATACGAGCATGAAAACATATTTGGTCATTAGAGAAACATACATCAAAACCATGAGGTAGCACCTTATTTACTTATTTATCCCTTTAAAGTCTATGGCACCCAGTATTCCCATGCAGTCTCCCAAGCCCAACTCTGCTTGTTGTGTTTCATTTTGAGGGGGTTCTTTTGAGACAAGGTCTTGCTATGTAGCTTAGGATGGCCTCAAACTCCTGATCCTCCTGCCTCAGCCTCCCAAGTGCTAGGATTATAGGCCTGTGCCATCACACCTGGTTCCTGCTTAGCTTTTGAGGTCAGATGAGAGCAGTACATGCAGAGAGCAAGGTCCTAGACAAAATGCTACTTCAAACCTACTAAGAACAGGTTTATGCTTGAAATTTTCATAACATAAGTTTTAAAAAGTAAGACTATCACCATATCTAATCACAGTTTTTCAACTCCAAATTAAAAAAAAAATGAAAATAATAGTCTTACTTTTGAGTGAGTTGAATCTTCTTCTTTTTGACTGTCAGGTCCTTCATAGGTATTTTGCATCAGAAGTTTCTTTAGCTTCTTTAATTTAGGTCTGCATCTTCTTAATTCCCAGTAATTATTAGAAAAACCAAAGATCTAGAAATTATATTAAAACTTTTTAGCAACCATTCGAAAAGAAAATTTCATACAAAATTCCAACTAACCATCTTTCCTCAGCAAGAAGCAAGAAAAAGGAGCCAAGGTATTCTGTTTTCTATAGGCACCTTCAGAAAACATCTTTTCAAAGCCCAGGTAAGAAGACACGATCAACAACTTGAGAGCCAATAATTGAGCACCACATCTCAAGTATATTCTAGAAACTAGAGTAGGCCCAAGTGACAATTCTACAAGACAGGTATAAGCAACTAAAAATAAATATATTTATTTGCTGACAAAACAGAAAATAAGATACATCATCATAAACTTCAAATAATGAATGTCTTAAAGTAAAGGGAAATTTCCTTGTTCTGTGTTGCTCATGCTGTCAAAATTAAGCAGAGGGTAAGGAAGACTTTTGTTTGATGTAAGACTTTCCACTACACAGAAGGGTAGCTAATTCCATTGTTGGGACTTACAACAGAGTGAGAAGTCCATCACATGAAGAAATCCAGATGACAGAGACCAGATGATAAATGAGTAACTGTTAGCCCTCCCCGAATTTATAGGAATAGCCCAGTGTTCAGCATTAAGTAGGCACCCAAAGTGTTTCCTGAAAGAAGAAAGGCTGAACTGTGGTATCTGTGGGTACCTTACAATTATAAAATGGAAAGATGGGGAATTTATTTTCTCTCAAAATAGTAAAAGGCTTGATTGACAAGATGAAGCCTACAGCCTGATGTTGTTGAATCTGAGACCTTCAAAAAAACCTTGAAGCTAGGCACTGTAGGCTCACGCTGATAACCATAGCTACTTGAGAGGCTGAGGTCAGGAGGTTTGAGACTCCAGGCCAGCTCAGGAATAGTTCACAAGACCCCCATCTCCAAAATAACCAGGCAAAATGGAATGGAGGCATGGCTCAAGTGGTGCCTGCCTAGCAAATATGAGACCCTAAGTTCAAACCCCAGCACCACCAAAAAGAAAAAGAAAAAAAAAAAAACCCAGTCCAACCAAAAAAAAAAAAAAAAAAAAAGACCTTGAAGACCAAATCAGAAAGATTGATCCTATCTATAGTTCAAAGTAGCATCCATCTGGTTATACCTAATGCACAGATCAATATGCTTCTGTTTGGAGATAGGAAGGTTTAGCCTAGTGTTTAAATTAGCTACCAATAGTAAAAAAAAAAAAGAAAAAAGAAAAAAATGTAGAGGAGATTTTACCCACAAAATTCAAACTTTACTGAAAGAAAACTAAATCACAAAATCTGGCAGTACTGGCTCTGCTTTTCCACAACTCAACTGAGCTGTGGCCATCCTCCTACTTGGGGCTTGTGGCCTGCAATTTGCCACCAATCCAAACACTCCTTGCTACTCCTTGATATCCACAACCACTTATCTGCCCAACCTACTTTACTCATGAAGCGCACATGGATCATTACTTTGGCTAGTGGATCTTCATTAAGCTTTTTTTTGGTAATACTGGGGTTTCAACTCAGGGCTTGAGCCACACCTCCAGCCCTTTTTGCTCAGTTTATATTGGAGATAGGGTCTCGCTTT